TGTTGTTGCTGCGGAGCGAGCGAGCCTGAAGCGAGCGAGCGTAGCAGCATTCTAATATGTGCAGAGAGGGGGTTTTGAACTAAATTTTATTTAGCGCATGGAATTGTGGTCGTGCGCGCTTTCTATGCGCAGAACACAAATTTTAAACTCGCTCGAGTCTTCGAATTTTTATCGAATTTCTAAAGCTTTTTCAAGTCTAATGTTACGCTTACATTTGTTTTGGACTTTGGCCACTGTCAGTTCTATATTTTTATAAAGTTTTGGTTTCTTAGTGTGATAAATCTGTGTATATAGTCTACAGTATATATAATAAGGTAAATGCGCCTATCAGTAAACAGACTTGATATAAAATTTGATCTTAATTTACCTGTATGTCAATGAGATGCACATGATTAATATCTGTCACCTATAATATATATTGCTTAATTCTTCTCAGTTCCATTCACGGCTCACTAGTCGCTGCGAGTAATCACTGTGCTTGATATAATTTGTGCTGCTTACTGTAGTTCTATTTGCTTTTAATGCCCGCAGCAATCCCTACCTTGCAGGTACCCTAGTTATAGTTCTATTAAACAAACCAAAAGGAACCAACACGGAAAATTACTTGCGCGAATTTAAAGCTGCGCGAACAAGTTTCGCGAATATACGACGCGAATATACAACGCGAATTTTAATACAAGTAAGGTATACAATACATGGATTTGAAACATCTAACCATATATTCATGATACGTTATCCCAGGAAGCAGGCTCAGCTGTTGTAATTCTAAACTCTGTTAGTAAACATGTAAACTACAATATAATATATCGGAGTGTAACTATTTCTATAAATTTCATTTACACTACTCACTAGTCTTTATAGACTACAGGTCTACAACTAATAATTACATGAACAAAGTCTAAGATATAAAATATATAGGAGATTAACTAACATATTTCTTAATATAAACACACATGGCATGCCAATGGCTATCAAATAGTGTGAGTGGCCATTGATATTGTTCTGCATTTTTATAATAACACGTTTCATCAGCAAATATATGGTAATATATTCGAGACGCATGAACTGTGTAAAATTCGATATGTTATTTACATATTTAATATACTATTCATGAGACTAACCTGACACGGAGGTGATTCAAACAGCGCTGTCTTCACAGTTCACATCGCGGGAAATGCAAATTATGCCAATAATCGCACACCAAAAGCTTTCGATCAGAATTCTTTCGCGCACCTTTTCGTTAAATGAAACACGTTTACATTCGTTCATTATACACAGAAGATCGTGGAGTCCTGTAGAAGCCATATCTTTCTCCTTGGAACGAGCGGCGATTAAAATTTACCGACTATTCGATTACAACGAGGAGCCGACACGACAATAACAAGCCAGCATCGCTCTGAAGTCGATGCGACTATTGCAAACAGTAGCATTTTGCCTCATTCTGATTGGCGTGCTTCGTCTGACCGTAGCAAACCAATCAGCACGCCGTATTTGCGAATTTTTGCAACGGTCAGTTTCAATCTGACCACTGCAAAAATTTCCAAATACAGCGCTATGATTGGTTTGCTACGGTTAGACGAAGCAAGCCAATCACAATGAAGCAAATGCTACGACTTCAGAACGATGTGATATAGTACTAGTGCAAAACCCGCAAATACAGGCAGTATTTCGGGCGGAAATTTGAGAAAAACCCGAATTTAATTATCCAAAATGAAATAAAAACTCGATAAAATTGTATCAATATGATTTAGTAAATTTAAAAAAAATTGCACCAAGTTTCAATGAAAAATTGAAAATAACGGCAATTAAAAATAGTATAACGTTTTAGTTTTTAATAACTTTAAAAAAGGTACAACCTGGAAAAATATATCTCAGGGAAAATCTGACCGTAGCATATGCTACGGTTGCAACGGTCTGAATCCGCCCCTGTTTCAAGGTGTCACAGAACCAATCAAGAGAATCTTAAGTAATTGTAATATTAAGGTTGCCTTAAAACTCTATTTTACTTTAGGCCACATTTTCGCAAGACCAAAAGATCCTGTTGAAGCAAATCTGAAGACTCATGCTATATATTCTATACCATGCGATGACTACGACAAAGAGTATTTGGGTCAGTCTAAACGCCAGTTTGGTACACGGCTAAAAGTACATCAAAAGGCTCTTTCAACTTTAGACAGGGGAAAATCAGCTTTTGCCGAACATGTATGTTACACCAAACACGAGATTGCGTGGGAAAACTCTAAAGTAATTACCACAAACAATCGCTATGGTCAAAGACTTTGCCTAGAAGCGTGGCATATAAATATGAGTCATCATGCTTTGAATAGGGATGACGGTGCCTATTTTCCAGAGGAATATATGCATCTTTTTGGCAGGTGACGTCATCCCTTGGGTATTTGAGAAGCCACGATCACAGTTTTAGATCATCCCTGATGAAGACACTAGACTGGAGTGTCGAAACGTTGGGTCTTGATTACAATTGGACAGGGCTTTGTAATCATTTATTTAAACCAGAGTAGCGAGCGAAACATGATATATTAGAAGTTGCTACAACTGAATTTATGCATCGCCCCCAGCTTACACAGTTTATAATGCAAAATCTATAAACGTGTCTTGTTTACATTTGCATTGCGCGCAGGCAAATTTTGATCTTTGAATTTTGATAATGATGATGTGATAATCAATGATAAAGACATCAGTGCGCCTATAAGCATTAGAGTGTGTGGTTTGCATATTTGTCGTCTAATATAAACAATAGAGACTATCTGCGATATACACTCGCACAGTATTAATAGTGCACAATATAATACAAACAGGGAATCTTTTAAAATAAATTCATAGTTAACTTTACCTGCAGTTAAATGAACTGCAAATAATTTGTCTATATTTCGAATACACACGAACTTATGACCTTTATACTAGCATATATTCAAAACAAAATTCAATATTTCGATAGTTATGGTATATTTTGATCAATTTTATAAAAATTGTAATATGTTCTCTTTTTATTACATTTTATTTGTGGGTACAAAGCTTTCGGAAAGACGCGATGAATAATGCGTAAAAACCGCAGCGGTTATCTGAATAAGTATAGAATAAGTCTCGTCAAATATTCGATCGCAATCTATCATAACAGGCGCGGTTACCAATCTCCCAAAGAAAGTGATCCCCCCAAAAATTTCTGCGTTCGGAACGCCTTCCTGAACGAGTTCGGAACACGTTCTAGAACGCGTTCGGAACACCTTCGAGAACGCGTTCGGAACGCGTTCTTGAACGCGTTCTGAAACTCGTGCTATACCATTTCCAGTCAGAGAAAATTAGATATCCTAAAAGTACGGTTTTATGTTGTTTATTACTGTAAAGACGATTCATTAAAAACATAAAACGATTGGACTTTCGATAAAACCCAATAAATGTTTGCCGTTTTATTTTGAAGACATTAGAATTTTTGACCTCTTCTTTTTGATTCGACAGAAGTGAAAAAAGTCTAGTTTCAATAGATCAATCACAGAAATCAATTTCTGAGTTTCAATTTCGACTCGTTCCTGAAGATTCATGGCTTTTGATACTGCATTGATACACACACTTGATATATACTTCTGCTAGATTTGGTATTCGTGACTCTGGCAGGTTCGGATGTGGACTGTTAAAATCTGCTAGATTTTCTTCAAATCTTCCAGGACTACGTCTGACAGTCATATGACATCAGTCACAATTTGATTGTCTGGTATTATTAATATTTCGCCAAACACGCGTGCGATTTTTCATTATCCTTCTCGAACCGTGTAATTTTCTATACTATTAGGGCTATTATTTATTATTTAAAAATATTTAAAAACGGTAGTCCTTCAGGGTACACAGGCACCTGCTTTTCAAGGAGCCGTTTGCAAACTATTTAAATTAACAATAATAATATAAATTAATTAACAACTATTACACTACCTATATTTAACAATTATACATTGAGCTCGAGTCGTATATGCGCTGATAGCCGACGAGGTCCGTAGCACCGAGTCGGCTATCAGCCATAATACGACGAGAGCGAATGGTATAATTGTTTTATAATATAGACTAGTCTATAATAGCCATTAACTGAAGCAATAATTAATTATCCTCTGTTACAATGTTTTGACAATTTGTTCGGCCAAAAACCGCTCAGTCCTTAGACTTAAAAATTTGAAATACTTTTGTTTTATAACTCGAAGACGATGTGAAAGAAATGGTTTTAGAACCGGTACATCTCACAGAAAAGCTGAGATATATCATACAGATATGTTTGTGATGTTACTCTGAGTGCATATCCACACCGGGCGAGCTTGAAAAATATGCCCGGCCACGGTGGGATTCGAACCTACGACCTTTGGAATAAGTCGAAATATCACTTACTCGAACCGTCCTGACCGCGTAGCTCAGTTGGAAGAGCATTGGGCTAGTATTCCAAAGGTCGTAGGTTCGAATCCCACCGTGGCCGGGCATATTTTTCAAGCTCGCCCGGTGTGGATATGCACTCAGAGTAACATCACAAAACATATTATTCACCTGAGTACACAACACCAGCACAGAAAAAAAATTCATATTACAAGAACACATTGGTATTGAAGGAACTAGATACTGTTCCGAAATATCACCTACTCGAACCGTCCTGACCGCGTAGCTCAGTTGGAAGAGCATTGGGCTAGTATTCCAAAGGTCGTAGGTTCGAATCCCACCGTGGCCGGGCATGTTTTTCAAGCTCGCCCGGTGTGGATATGCACTCAGAGTAACATCACAAACATATTATTCACCTGAGTACACAACACCAGCACAGAAAAAATTCATATTACGAGAACACATTGGTATTGAAGGAACTAGATACTGTTCCGAAATATCACTTACTCGAACCGTCCTGACCGCGTAGCTCAGTTGGAAGAGCATTGGGCTAGTATTCCAAAGGTCGTAGGTTCGAATCCCACCGTGGCCGGGCATATTTTCAAGCTCGCCCGGTGTGGATATGCACTCAGAGTAACATCACAAACATATTATTCACCTGAGTACACAACACCAACACAAAAAAAAAAAAATTCATATTACAAGAACACATTGGTATTGAAGGAACTAGATACTGTTCCGAAATATCACTTACTCGAACCGTCCTGACCGCGTAGCTCAGTTGGAAGAGCATTGGGCTAGTATTCCAAAGGTCGTAGGGTTCGAATCCCACCGTGGCCGGGCATATTTTCCAAGCTCGCCCGGTGTGGATATGCACTCAGAGTAACATCACAACCATATTATTCACCTGAGTACACACAACACCAGCACAGAAAAAAATTCATATTACAAGAACACATTGGTATTGAAGGAACTAGATACTGTTCCGAAATATCACTTACTCGAACCGTCCTGACCGCGTAGCTCAGTTGGAAGAGCATTGGGCTAGTATTCCAAAGGTCGTAGGTTCGAATCCCACCGTGGCCGGGCATATTTTTCAAGCTCGCCCGGTGTGGATATGCACTCAGAGTAACATCACAAACATATTATTCACCTGAGTACACAACACCAGCACAGAAAAAAAATTCATATCATACAGATGTTTGGTAGTATATTAAGTGCTTGTTGACTGAAAATTCATTTGTCTTTCGTTGCAAACTTTTCTGAACAATTTATATTCTCAATGAACATGTTTTTTTCTCTGTTGTTTCGGTTTTAATTGTTTAAAAAAACTTGTATTTGAACTAATTTCTATGTAATAAATGTATTTTGCTAACCTGTCAAATTTTTTTGAGAGTTTTTCCTTGTACTATTATATTTCTCAAAGCGAATATTTTCCCTTTTTTTTGCTTCGCAAAACTCATGTAGTTTTTGGACCGCCATCTTGTTTTTCGCTACTCGCCGTATATGACCTGATATACCGCGAGTAATTCGACCAATCAGATTGCAGAACAGCTCATATACGGTAAATGACTATATTATAATATTAATTATATACTAGATTACTAACTGCTAATTGCAAGAATACATCAGCTGCGGTCAAGAATAGATTTAAATTTGCTAAGGCTGTTTTGTTCCTTAGCTGAACTTGGTAAGCTGTAAGGACGCAGCCGAGTAACTAATACTCTTTTTCATAAAATTTGTTACTGGCTTTCCAAGGGAGAAGTTTATATTGTTACTACGCAATTGATACACTTGCTAATTGTGGCATGACGTTATTTTATATTGTGTGCATAAAAATTCATTTGTTTCTCTTTAGTCGTTCACTTAAAGGCCGCCAATTCAGCTCTTTTAAAACATCTTTAGATCTGGTTTCATATGTTCTGCCCGTAATCATTCTCGCAGCCCTATTTTGTAATTTTTGCAGTTTGTTTAACAGATAATCAGAACAATTATCCCAAACAAGACTGTAATAATCAAAATGTGACAGGACAATAGCCTTGTATATTTTTAACAAAGTCGATTGCGGAACAAATTTCTTTATTCTTCGAATCATTCCTGCACCTTTTGAAGATTTTGAAACAATACTTTGTATTTGGTCGTTCCACGAGAGGTTCTCATCAACAATGACCCCCAAAGTTTTAGATTTGTTGAGTCACCGAGTTTGACTATAGGACCTGTTGAAATGTTTGAAATGGGTTGTCGTGTGCCAACAATTAATCATATATTCAGTTTTCTTTTTATTAAGAGTGACTTTATTCGAAGTTAGCCATTGGTGAACATTTGCGAGGTCGGTATTTAAGCGTTATTGTATTTCAGTGCCAGTTTTATCTTGAGTAGAAATATTTGTGTCATCAGCAAACATACTTGCCGAGGATAATGATAGACAGTTGGGAAGGTCGTTTATATATAGAAGAAACAGCAACGGGGCCTAAGTTAGAACCTTGTGGTATGCCACATTTAACCGTTCTTTCATTAGATGTAATTTGATCCACCTTGCAGATTTGTATCCGATTAGTAAGATAAGACTCAAACCAAACTAGATCACGACCTCTTATTCCATAATAATCCATTTTTGTTGTAAGTATATTATGATCTACACAGTCAAACGCCTTTTTAAGGTAAAGGAAAATAACTCCATTCAAACTCCCCCTATCCATATTTAGCAGCCACTGATTTTTTGTACGAAGGAGAGATGTTTGAGTGGAGTGTTTCCTGCGTAAACCTGCTTGTTGTTCTATGAGTAGACCGTTAGACTCTAAATACGTATTAAGCTGCTCTGAATTTAATTTGTCAAATATTTTTGCAACACATGATAAAACTGAAATTGGTCTATAATTATCACAGATTAATTTGCTATCAGATTTATGAATTGGCGAGATTGTAGCAATCTTAAAGTCGTCAGGAAAAATGCCAAAGTTTATTGAAGCATTAAATCACGCTGCTAATGAGGGAGCTATTTCTTCAGCCGCATCTTTGAGAAGTTTTGGCGGAATTCTATCGTGTCCTGCTGATTTTGATGTTTTCATTATAGAAAGTAATTTGTAAACTTCTATTTGAGAAAAATTTTGTATTGATAATTTTGTGCTTGTTTAAGTTAAATAGGAATCCGGCGTCCTACCGCTGTTCGGTATTTCATTAGCTAGTTTTGGCCCGACTTCACTAAAATATGTGTTTAAAACATTTGCAATTTCAGACTTATTAGTTATAACTTGATTACCTTGATGGATTTCAGAGGTTACGGTAGTTTTTGAGCTTTTGTTAGTACGTTAATATATACATAAAGATATTACTCGACTGTGATTGGTTGATTTCAATGCAGTTAATCCCAAACAGCAGTGCAATTTTCTGTAATCACAGTGCAATTTTCTGTAATCACAGTGCAATTTTCTGTAATCACAGTGCAATTTTTTGTAATCACAGTGCAATTTTCTGTAAACACAGTGCAAAAATCTGTAACAAACTGATCTGATTGGTGGAAAAACATTGTGATGATTAAATCAACCAATCAGTTTAAAGCAATTTAGTTTAAAGAAGTAACGGTCACAGATTGCTTCAAAACAAAACAAACATGGCGCCGCGCTACAGTAAAGTAAAAGTTACCTTCGCGTGGAAAATATGGCTTTTATCTTTATTTTTAAATGGAAAAGCATTTACCTTAAGCAAAACTAACAAAAATTACATAGTTGAGTGGAATTTTCAAGCTGTTGGCGTTGTTTAATGTGATATAACAAAGCCAGGAAAAGTTTGCCGGCGGAATGTTCGCTATTTTAAAACGCGTAAGTTAAAACTACAATTGTCTCGAACATTTTTATGTAAATTATTAATAAGTAATAGCATGGTTTCTCGTGAAATTTGGATAAACATGCACTCGTTAGTTTTTCAAAGACCTCAAATAGCACTCGTGCTTCGGACTCGTGCTATTTTGAGGTCTTTGAAAAACTCACTCGTGCATGTTATATCCAAATTGCACTCGAAACCAGGCTATTACCTATACTTATTAATCGCTTTCCACATTTCTTTAGGATTATTCTCGCATTCGTTCAAGGTATTCATAAAATATTCGGCTTTGGGGTTTTTAATTAATAACCTATTTAAATCGTTTCGAGTTGTCCTATTCGCATCGTGAAAGTGTTTCGATCCTGTTTTAACAGCCTTTTTCTTTACCTAAAGTTGTTTGTTATCCACGGAGTCTAAAGTTGTTTGTTATCCACGGAGCATATTGGCTTCTTACTCTTTTAGTAATTGGAGGAGCATGAAAATTAGCGACAGTTAAAAATTTTGTTTTCCACTTTTCCCATATTACGTTTGGATCAAGCATACTGTTCAAAAATATTTCGTGGTTTAAATATGGAAAAATATCTGCCTTAAAATTATTGGCATTATATTGCTTAACATTGCCTAGTTTTGACAATCTTAGGTTCCCCACGAGGAATTGAAATAACTTCTTTGGATATAAATCATACTATGGTCGCTGATTCCCAAATGAATGGCTCCTGAGCAATAATTAATTCACGTTTGTTTGTGAAGGCTAAATCGATTAGTGTCTTAGTTGTTGCCGTAACTCGAGTCGGCTCTTCAATTAATTGCTCAAATTGAAGGGTATTCATAATTTCGGCAAGTATGTTTGTGTGAGCATTGGCTTCATTGTTAGCCAGAAGAGACCAATCACATTTGAAATCACCAATTAAAATCCCTTACGAAAATCAACACTATTTTAACCCTATTTTATCCCTATTTTACTTTCTATTTTATTCCTATAGAAAAGCTATTTTATTTTTAACCCTATCATATTGCTATCACATATACAAATCCTATATTAAACCTATTAGAACTCTGTTTTAATTGTACTTTATAGCTATTATAAATAGGTTTTTTTGAAACAAAAAATAGCCTATTTTAAATAGATTTTATCTTTCTGAATCGGTGAAGCACAGATTAAAATAGGTTTAAAATAGGATAAAATATATTTAATATAGAGTGCAAAATAGAAATAAAATAATAAAGTAAAGTGAAATATTGGTAATAAAATAGATTTTAAATATACATAAAATAGGTAAAAAATAGTCGAAAATACATATAAAATAGTGGATCAACTGCAGTATATTAACTAAAAATAGTAATAAAATTACTGCAAAAATAGTAATAAAATAGTTTAAAAATATGAATAAAATACTGATAAAATAGTAATAAAATAGTAGAATTTAAAATAGCGAGCAAAATAGTAAAAAAATAGTTCAAAATTCTTATAAAATAGTATAAAAATAGTAATAAAATAGTTATAAAATAGCAATAAAAGAATAGTAAAATAGCAATAAAATAGTTATAAAATAACCACAAAATAGCTATATTAAAATAGTAGCACTGCAACATAGTTACTTTATAAAGTAATAAAATTGTAGTATGATAATTAAAACCAGTTAAAAAATAGTAATGAAATAATATCAAATTATCTGAAAACTAGCAATGCAGTACCATGGTTGACAGGTATATTATCGTTTAAAATTGAATAAAATAATACACATAAAACAGTTTGTATTCTTATTAGCTGTCAATGCTAGGTTGTGGCAGTTTAAGGGCGGCAGGGGTGAATGTGGCAGTTTATAAGCAGTGTCAAATCAATGGCATTGTTTACCACGCACAGTCAGAGTTACCAACGTTTGAGTAACTGTAAGGAATCTATTACACGATTGGGTTTCAAATCAATTGCAGGATGAGCAGTCTAGTAGTCTACTAGCAGTTAGATCCATGCCACCAAGCATCTTGGAGATCAAGCAGTTATTGCCAATACATGCAAGCTTAATTGTCAGTATTAAAAGGTGAAAAATGGGCAAGCAGACCATAGTCGATAAGCGAAATTGTCTAGCTTGAGACCTCACAGTTAAATATTGTGTGCAGAACTTAAAGTAGGGAGTGTTAAGGAAAATTACATCTAAATATGTCAACATGGAACATCATGGGCATGAAACATCATGAGTCTAGCTGGACACTTTCCTTGGCAAATAAAATTGTCCAACATTAGGCAAGATACAAAAACATTTAAATATTAACAAACTGCTGAAAATTGGGCACTTCGCAGTGAAATGGGTAATTTTATTAAAAAAAAAAATTAGTTCACCCTTGTCATGACTTGCCGGGGTGTCTCTAAAGATATATATAAAATGTAGCCCAAAGGTTGTTACATATATTATTAAGCAGATCATGCAGGTGGTATAGATAAATGTATTCATATATTATAAACTTTGAACAAGCAAACAAAGGACTTTGACTGTTTCCAGTTAGGGCACTTCCATAATCAAGTTGCCATACAACAAATTGATCAAATTAACATTTTACCTATTAACCGACCCACCCGGCATTAAAAACTTAAGCATGGCATACAAAGGAAATTGAAATTAACCCTCTATACCCCCATTCCATTGATATCCTAATACATTGTACTATTACCCTCAGATGTTAGACATGGTAAAATCAAACAGAACTGAAAGAATCCAGCTTTGATGCAACCAACACCTGGTGTTAGACTGAGAGTGAAAAAAAAATTAAAGTTGGGTATATAAGTGCTATAATGGTAAAGTGCATGAGACATCCTTTTCCGGCTGATAATTTCAGCAAATATACTAGATAGATATAAGTAGAAAATAATATAACGGCATGTCTTGCAAATATAACGACATATCTTGTGAAACACTGCTGAAGGTGAATCATATTTGATTCAAAACATACAGTTTTCATAAATTGTGTGTTAACTAATTACTATATAATGCACTCCTTATTCAGAATAACTTTTATTCTATGACTATTATGTAACTGAGACATGCACATTTAGCTGGGATATGCCTAGGTATTTATAAGCATATAAAGAATTGAGGATTGAAACTTGAGTAGATGCCAAGCTATAATATATTAATTTTGATACAAGAAACACTGCCACTGGAATCTGGCAATACACAACTATTAACTATTTGGCATTAGTTAATACAATAAACATAATTTAATATAAAGACTTCAGGAGTCAAATGTAAGCTTTGAATTAAACTAACGTTTTATATCATCGCTTTAAATATTGTCGCGGCAAATTCAAATTTTAAGCCGAAACATCAAGCACGTGCATTCTCAAAATTCAGGAATGAAGATTGAAGTAGAAAATATTTCCTTTCAAAATTGCTCTATTATACATAAAACTTAACAAGATTCTTAGCTGGATATTACTCTGTCATCCCTGATGTTTCATCTTCGCTTATTAAGGCTTCATCGGCTCGGCTAATTCAAATTTTAAGCCGAAACATCAAAGGTCATCAAACACGTGCATTCTCAAAATTCACGAATGAAGATAGCAAATATTTCCTTTCAAAATTGCTCTATTATACATAAAACATAACAAGATTCTTACCTGGATATTACACAATCATCCCTGATCTTTCATCTTCGTTTATTCACGGTTAATAAGGCTTCATCGGCTCGAAATATCGAGCGAAATATTGTAACTTCGAAATCACGAACTGATTATAAAAAATGGCGGGGTGTAAATTCAGTGCTTCCACTTCCACTTTCAAAAAAAATAATTTCCTTCCCAACTGCTCAAAATTTCCTTATTTTTGACAAAAATTCCTTTGATGAAGATGAATTTTACCTAGTTTGAAACTGATATTACAATAATTTATCCTGAATGACGGTGTATTTCTAGGGTGAGAAACAATTATAAATTATAAATTAATTATAAAAAACTGCAACAGGAGGCTTGAGGTCATGTCTCGGGAATTTTTCAGATTTTCCATTCCCCAGGAGTAGGATTTGGATTTTTGACATTTCCTGACGCGAATTTGCTTGGGAATTGCTATAATCTTTGGATTTATTAGAAATAACATAATATCCTTATTTCCTTGCTGAAAACAAAATTCCTTGCCGTTTCCTAGTAAATTTTATTTCTTTTTGCAAAGAAATGTCCTTGCAAGTGGAAGCACTGCATGGGATGACCAGTGTAGGCAACAGTTGAAGCCTCCCCCTTTCCTCACCCTTCGCCCCTCACCCCCTCCCCCCTTCCATTATTAATGATTGGTCCCTTATCTGTGTAACTATAAAATACGGTTCTATTTTATTTCATTTTGCTAAGTAGGAAAATTCAGAATGTTTTAATTTAAATAGACTATTTTATACATATCTGCAAATTGTAATCCTGAATTCCGGTAAATGTAAAATAGGATTAAAATAGATATATGTTATTTACCGGATTGGAGGTTCGTATAGAGAAATATTTCTCGAGGTCTTAAAAACGGCCCGAGGCCGAAGGCCGAGGGACGTTTTTAAGACCTAGAGAAATATTTCTCTATACGGACCGACCATACCGGTAAATAATATTTTTATTTTTTTTAATTCCTCTGGATTTCCCCAATCACTCCTCCCGCACGCGAATGAAGCTGCCAAATAAAACGTCGTTTCTATCAATGCTATCGGGAAGAGAAATATCTTTTGTGAGATAGTAAAATTCGTTTTCACTGTGTTTTTCATCGTCTGCAGACATTTTAATGTTTTAAAAAGTAGCCTTTAAACTCGTCTTTAAATTTTGAAAAATAAAAACATTGGCTCTACGGCTTTAAATCTCGCGCGGTCCGTACGGGCTCATACGGACCGCTCACGTAGCCAATCAGATTGCAGAAAAGCGTAAAATATGACTTCGGACTGCAAGAAAAAAAAATAATGTATTTTATTATATTTTGCAAATTAGGGAAAGTGAATAGGTTTAAAATAGTATATTTTATCCCTATTTGAAAAATGTGGCAGTTCTAAAAATGTGCAATAGGTTTAAAACAGTCTATTTTATTCTGTTTTGCGTATTCTGAAAAATAAATAGCTTTAAAATACTATATTTTATATCTATTTTAATTTATGTAATATTCTGCATGTGCAAAATATGTTTAAAATAGTCTATTTTATTGTTGTTTTGCTAACTATGAAAGAAAGATAGGATTAAAATAGTATATTTTATTCCTGTTTAAAATTTGTGCATTTAACTTCCAATGTAAAATAGGATTTAAACAACCTATTTTATTTTATGAGTTTAAAAATAGTATATTTTATATCTATTTTAATTTCTAACTGCTTTCTGGTGAAGTAAAATAGAATTTAAATAGGCTATTTTAAACCTATTTTTTCCCTGCGGCTCTGGAAAATAGTATTAAAATATGCGATTTTATTTCTATTATCTATAAAAATAGGAATAAAATAAAATAAAACATTAATAAAATATGGCTCTTTCTTTTAGTGAAATATTATGATAGAATTAAAATAGGGTTGCCTCTGAATAAAATAGCATAAAAATAGGGATGATAGTAATAAAATAGTTTTAAAATAGCCTGCCTCGTTGAGTCAGTTGTCGGGCCAGGATTAGGAGAAACGTCCCCGCTTACAGATATACGTTCGAATTGAAATGTAGCGTTTGAATTAGAATAGTAGCCGATTCGCGAAGAGAAAAATCTTGCTCGCCTACCTCGTTTATTTTGTATATGATGAAATCTCGTCGTGTTAAGATTACCCAAACGGTACCAAATTGACAATGTTGAACTCGTTAACGGCCTTTCAAAGTAAGGCAGAGATAGATTGCCACGACTCGTATAATGTCTCACCTTGGAGTTGTAAACTTGGAAGCCAAAGATTGGCAAGCTTAATGTGCAAAACAGGGAGGTCAGAAACACACGTCCACTCATGTTGACTCGCTCCTTGAAATTGTTGTTGGCATTTGAGTTACGTAATTACTTCCGTTAACGAGATTAACCAATGGAAAGCTTTTCCGAAGATTCTTCAAAGAAGAACAAATTTGTCATAGGCATTTTGGGCAGGCGCTTATTTAACGACGCCCTCTCTTCTCCAGCCCGCACTAAATGCCTGCTACGCAGGTTATTATCAACAAGTCTGTAGTATTATTCCAGCTTTATTTTGCGTGTTTGTTTTACTTTTAAATATACTTTACATATAACCACAGTCCCACACAAGTCAAATAGTCGACTAATCAGCATCTGATTGCTTCAAAGAAGCGTAACACGCTTATTGTCCTATTTCGTGACACTCAGGGGCTGATTACATGGGCCGATCGAATTGTCCCGCTTTGCCGAGTTGTCCCGGCTAAGCGAGTTGACTTTTGAATTGCGATTACATGCACCGCGCTCACCCGGCTAGCCGGGCTGAAGTAGCTCATTAAGAACTGTAATGCTTAACAATTTAATACTCGGTGTTGGAAATCGATTAAAAATGGCGTATTTGTTATATTTGTGGACTACTTTACCCCGCTGAATGTTGTTGGTTGAGCTGTTTATACTTAGCGCTTATCCCAATAGGTTTATACTATGTTTGTGATGTTACTCTGAGTGCATATCCACACCGGGCGAGCTTGAAAAATATGCCCGGCCGCGGTGGGATTCGAACCTACGACCTTTGGAATACTAGCCCAATGCTCTTCCAACTGAGCTACGCGGTCAGGACGGTTAAGTGATAGTTTTATTCCAAAGGTCGTAGGTTCGTAGTGGATAGTTTTATTCCAAAGGTCGTAGGTTCGAATCCCACCGTGGCCGGGCATATTTTTCAAGCTCGCCCGGTCTGGATATGCACTCAGAGTAACATCACAAACATATTATTCACCTGAGTACACAACACCAGCACAGAAAAAATTCATATTACAAGAGCACATTGGTATCGAAGGAACTATAGATACTGTTCCGAAATATCACTTACCCGAACCGTCTTGACCGCGTAGCTCAGTTGGAAGAGCATTGTGCTAGTATCCAAAGGTCGTAGGTTCGAATCCCACCGTGGCCGGGCATATTTTTCAAGCTCGCCCGGTGTGGATATGCACTCAGAGTAACATCACAAACATATTATTCACCTGAGTACACAACACCAGCACAGAAAAAAATCAGGTTTATACTGTTTGTATTCAAATAAAATTGTGTCGTTTCCTATCTAAACCTTGAAAACGTTCATTAATATCATTTCGATGTTATTTGAAATTTTTTTAACTAATGTCACTAATACTTGTACATATAATCAAAATTAAAACATGCATAAGTGTGGTTTTCAGCCCGTTTTGCCCAGCCAACTCGGCAAAAAGCGATTACATGGGATGTGTGGGCAATTTCTGTCCCGGCTAAGCGAGTTGACTCAGCAAGCTACAGTCGCGGTCCCGGCAAGGCGGGACAACTCGCTTTGCATGTAATCGAAATGTCAAAACAATAGAAAATACATATAGGAAGCGGGTCAACTCGGCAAAACGAGTCAACTCGCTTAGCCGGGACAACTCGCCCATGCAATTGGCCCCTCAGATTATTTCAGCACGGGCTGACATTTCAGACCGGGTTGACGATAAATATAGCTCTGACTAAACTCAGCCCGGGCTGAAACTTCTCATGTAATCGTGATGCAATTTCAGCTCGTTTAAGCGGGCTGAAACTCAGCCCGGGCTGAAAACTCTCCATGTAATAGCCCCTAATTGTCCACTGTAGTTTAATATTGCAACTGAAACTGTCTATGTTACGTTGGTTTGTCACAGTTCTTGAAGCATAAAGGTACGTTCATTGTATTTTTCGTATTTCCTTAGCTTCATCTCGAAGTTTTAATTTAAATTACACGGAAATATTTAACTAAGTGTTTTCCAAATCACCAAATGTAATGTATTAACTTCCACCGACAAAAATATTAATGGGAAGAACTGTTTCAGCTCTACCATTCTCTACCATCAGATTTGAACTAAGTTCATATTTTGTCGACAGTAGGGACAGCTCAGAACAGGTATTGCAGAAATCACTTGAAACTGAACTGAACAATTTAGTCAGAGGAGGTTGGACAGCAGGCCGCAAAGCATCATGGGTATTGAGCGTCTAATTCCACGCGTGGCTTTCATTGACTGTTGACTGTCGAGGAGTGAACATCTCTCTGACTACAAAACCAATATGGAAACTTTCGAACGACAAGAGTGGCAGGCTGCGATACTTTGTGAAAACTGCATGTTATTGCTGTATTGTTGCGATCATCATTATGACTTGTGTTTTACCATATCAAGTTTACCTTTTTTAAATTGCATGGGACGTGCTGACATTTTAGCTTCATAAATAATCCGTCTGAGAAAAGGAATTGTGTTTGAATTTATATTCCCAAAAGCGAGGCTCTTCTTTCTAAGTTGGATGGCGTTAAATCTCCGTGTATAATCAACATAAAAACAAGCGTAGTATTTAAGGTTGGTATACTACAATGCATTAAAGTTAAATTTCCGCTTTGTTGTTTTTATTCTTGTACTTCTAATATAAATACACTGTACAAAATTATCAATTATGGCGTCATACTTGTGTGTATAATGCCCAGTGGCGTAGCTAGCGGTCCTGCTTGTCCTGCCCAGCAGGACTAAAAATTTCCCCAAATTTCCTTACTAAAACATTGCTTTATTTATCTTGAAGCTTTAAAAATTTATCATTATCATATTGTTATTTTTTGTCTTTTTCGTTATTATTTTTTAAAAAGTTCGCAATCTGTTATATTTACGCAATTTTACAGCTTGCCGTGTCTGTTACCTAGCAACTGCAACTCTACATTGATTTACACGCGACTCGTATTTCAGTCCTGCCATTTTCAAATGGCAGGACTTGCTAGTATATTTCACAGTAAATTCATACAAGAAATCTTGGTTTCTGATTGGATAATTAGGTCTGCGCATGCTCAAACAGACTGTTAACAAATGCGAAGTCCTGCTCTCTCGAAATGGCAGGACTTGGCCTTGTATTGTCTTTACTTGCGAGTTATCCGCGTAACTAAACCTACTTTTTACTAATTCTGTCGAGATTACTCAAATTATGAATATGGAAATCAACGAATGTGGAAGCCCAATGTGATTTTGATATAATTTCTGGCTTCTGCTAGATATTTTAGCTCACGAAATGCATGTGAACAGACTCGACTGATGATTGTGTATTTTTATAATACAATATAATGGGGAATACAAACTTCATTTGTGAAGCCTGTCGTATTGATATAAAATAAGAACGTAATATTTACTGCCAGTTCATCTACTTTGTGCATTTGAAACGAGCACTTATATGGAGTTTAATTTTAAAAATGATATACTGTACCAATTCTGGCAATTCACACTGTTTATGTAGATATTTGGCCGCATACACTAGTCTATATTAAACGCTATATTAATACCATAGGCATAGCGTACTGAATTACATTCAGACTATCAACTACAGATCACTACGCCTGGCACTCTACAGAGTGCCAGGCGTAGTGATCTGTAGTTGATACCACTCCATTATATAAAGTTTAACACATTACTAACAAACGTAGTAAATTTTTAACGAATGCTAGCCGTAGCGTTTTAGTGTATTATTAAAACGCCGTGTTCAACAGTATAATAGTTACGCAACTGTTGATTATGCCGTGATATGTGTTGATCAAGTGAAAGATCGTATTACAGACGCGTATTGTATACATGATATTTTCCTCTTTCGTGACTTGACTATATTTAGCCACATTGTCAGTTAAGTTGAAAAATATATAGTGAAATATGATAAAAAAAATGCATGGATTTAAAAAAGTTACAAATTTTTTTTTCTAAAAAAATTATCAAAAATTTCCCGCTAATTACGCAATTTTTGGATGTTCCCTTTGGAGTATTTCGCCGTGAAATCGCAGGAAATGGCCATTCCAGACTTTTAAAATTCAAAATTTTCCGGGGGAGCATGCCCCCGGACCCCCCCTACAATGTGTGGGTTTTAGAGCAGGACTAGTGAAATTTCGCTAGCTACGCCACTGATAATAATGCCTCTAGTTTGATCCTAGCTATTGTGTGTATATGTACTGTGTCACTGTGATACATATGTACATGTTTTGAGTTTAACGAATTGTTTAATAAATTTTTGCTGAAGTATGATGCCTGTTTGTATGGGTAGATTTTTACATATATATGCATACAGTATACTTTTCATCTGTAAAATATTTTTTGTGTGTTCTAATATTACTGTAAATAGTGACACACTTTTGCATTAGATTGCTAATTTTAGAGATTACAGTGTATGTATAAAATAATAAAATAAAAATGTTCTTGTTATTGAATTTGTAGAAAGAGATCTACTCGAGTGGTTCAGTGGTTGGCTGGTCTTGAACCTGGTCAGGATGGATATGGTGATGAAGGTGATAGGGCAGAAAGTGGTGACCAGTTAAGTGATCATAATGAAAGTGACGAGGATGAAATCAACCATGCTGTGCCATTCAAGTGCATCGGAGCTGCTAATGAGAAACATTTATTTACCAAGATCATTTGTAACAGGCATGCCTTGCTATTCATGGACAAGATAAGCATTTTTACCTTTCACTTTATTCATTGCCAAACAAAAATCATTTAATTTAAGTAGGTGTGTATCTGTAAGAAAACCGAATATCTGTTATGCGCACTTGTGCAACTCCCTCAAAATAGCAATATTGCTTTTTTATTGTGGCATAAATCTATTACTAGGACATCAATATGGTTCTCATTACCTATATCTAAACTTAAAAAACCATGTGCTATATATAAATAAATGCATCTACCTATTTCGTAACTGAATAGAATTTATTTTGTCAAGCCATGTAATTAATTTTGAAATTGCTGTGACTTTATGTAACCCTTCTGCAGGAATTGAGCCTATAAACTCTAAAGCACCAACCCATCCCCAACAATAAAATTTTTAAATTTGGTTGTGTGAAAATCGGGCTGAGTTGAATTTAAATGGTTCTCATTTCTAGTCAAAATATGGGTCTCTATTTACTTGTTTCTAATATATACACCTGTTGACTCTGGATGCTCTTCAGAAGTATCAAATAATGTACCTGCCATTATAAATGCTTCCTCCTTTAATTAATAATAGTGTTCATGCATACTAAAAAACCAAACATGGTAAATTATACTACAGGTATATGAAATAACTGTACCAGCCAGGGTACCGGTATTAAAACTGGCTTGTCCAAGAAATATTGTGGGTGATGTCTGGCGACCTACATGGTGCTTGAAATGAATTGTCACATGCTGACAATTCAGCATCTTTTCAACAAAAATTATCGAAACATATGAAGTAGATAATGTAAACAGCAGCTGACAACTCACACAAAGCTTGCAAGTTGCTGTTTAATAAAGAAAACAATTTCTTAGGTCATCCATGGTCATCTAATTAAAAAGTGGCTGACGTCTAATTTCAAGAATGGCTGGTGCCAAATGTACACTATTATAACAAACATATTTTAATTATTGTCAATAAATTTGAACAAATATGCTCAAGCATTAATTAAATATGATACATTACATGTATGCAGGGATGGATCCAGCATGATCTGGTAGGGAGGGGGGTTGCTCTGGTGCCGACTGAGTTGTGTCGGTCATGTGTGCCGCCCGCCCACCAACTACTGTTCACAGTTCACTTATCATCATGTTATTACTCAAATTATCGTATCTCATTTTGTTTTTTTTTGCTTTATCATAAAAAATAGCACCCCCCCCCCTGCACCCCCTCTGGCCAGGGCTAGAGAGGGTGTGCACCCCGCCCCTAGTAAATCCATCCCTCCATGTATGTGCACTTTCTATATTCTGCTCAGGTATTTGGTGAAAATGTACGTTGTTGGCCACAATGAGGGATCACAGCTCAATTTGTATTCACCAATAACTTTCAGGAAGACATCATAAGGACAAGAGATACTATAATCAATACTAGTATAGTAATCCATGCTAAAATGTCTTAATTCTTCAACATCGTCAGTTGGCTCTGCCCTTGGATGTTCAGGAAAAAGCCCTTTTTCATATCGACATCTGAACTCCTGTAATTAAAAAGGAACATAGCATTTTACACTGAGAGAAAATCTGATCACTTTATAATGTGCTGTTCTTTTAAAATCATCTCTACCACCAGACAATTTCACTTGCCAAGGAGCTAGGCATGCATGCTAGTAATACCAGCCCAGATATAAAATCTGTAAAAACAGGCGAATAACTCCTAAGTCTTCTAAATAGTCTTTCAAATGTAATTTAACAATTACTGTAAAGAAAAATTCTCCTAATATTAAGGAACTTTCAAAATTCATTGTGAAAACCAAGCTTTGGTGGCGCAATATCTTCCCCAGATATTAGACGCCATTTTGGCAAAGGTTGAAATGAGTATGGTCACTTCAATGCCAAATATCTCGAAAACTGCCGGGGAATCCCGGGCATCCCTCCAGCAGATTTTTAGTTTAGATATTTGTCTTGACTTTTTTGCAGAAAAAACGAAAATCGAACCATGGGAATTCGAGATTTTTTAGTTTGAAAGTTGTAAACAGACACGGACTTGAGTCATCACGTTGCCACGACATGACCAATTTCAATAATCGAAAACAGGTTAAAAAATAACGCTTACCTCAGAAATTCTTGCACATATCGCCAGTTCTTTTATAATACTATGGTCACGGTTGCATTTTGATAGAAAAATTTCAATATTTATATATATTTTTTGAGTGCTTCTGTATCCAATGCAAATTAGAAGGCCAAAAATCTTCGCAAACACGGTGGGAAAATAGCGCGATTTCATTGGTCGAGAATTTCACGTGACAGCTAGCGCTGTCCAACCTCCTCTGCCATTTAGTACAGACATAAAAATTAGGCAGTTGCGAGACTGCACGTGCTGTTGTTTACAAACTATATAACAATATTGTAAACTATAAATATTGTAAAACAAAGTAAAAATTTGTGTTTAAAAACTCTTTTTTTTTCAAGCATATTATCGTGAAACGACAAGCAAAAATACAAAAATATAAAAATAACAAACCTTTTTTATTGTTTTTTTTAGTAGAAAAATGTTGATTAAATCAAAACAAATTCATTTTTATATGTTTTTGATCGGATCTGAACATGAACCCGTCGTTTACGGAAGCAACGTAATTGATTTTGTCAAAACCAAAGCCAAAACGCCAGGCATAAAAGTTTTTATTCCAAAGCTCCTCTGCTACCATACTCATAAAAAAATTATATTTTTAAAGGGTATGGGCAATGAAAATTGCTTCATCTATCTTATTGCTTCGTCTGAAAGAGCATGGAAAAGTAAGCCGATTGGCCGTTTAATGCTCTATTCTATCTCATCTAGTTCCGAAGTTATATGCAAAAATGTGCAAAATATAAATTGCTGATTCAGCACAATGTGTGACGTCATTAGCTGGGTAAGTATGTTTCATTGAATACTACACTGAAGCATACACTCTTTTCATAAATGGCTGCCAATTAAAAGTTCTTTTATGTGCATATAAATTGGCCCAACTAGCCTCGTACTCATGTTAAGATTTCAAAGGAATTTCTACCCAGAAACGAGGCTAGTTGGGCCAATTTATATGCACATCAAAGAATTTTTAATCGGCAGCCATTTATGAAAAGGGTGTATAGCTCAGTTATTATGGGCCCAAATCAAATGAAATTTTGGATACTGATTGTACATAATGAGACGCATGGAAAAACACTTCTAATTTTGTTTCCAAGGTAACAATGTCGTTCCCAGGCCCTTTGCGCCAATTTTATAAAACAGCTTTATTCAAGGTACTGATAAAAATAAAATAATATCAGAAGTATGTGTACGATATCTATGCATGCCGAAAGTTTACTTGCATGATAATAATTTGAAAATGACATACACATAGAGAAATGCAACTAGTTATTCAAAATCAGTTTAAAGGGCCTGGGAACGACTGTGTTGCCTTGACAACGAAATTAGAAGTATTTTCCCATGCGTCTCATCATGTACTATCTGTATGAAAAATTTCATTTGATTTGAGGCAATAATAACTCAGCTATGCTTTAGTTTACTATTCAATAACTATACTTACCCAGCTTATGACGTCACACATTGTGCTGATCAGCAATTATATTTTGCACATTTTTGCGTATAACTTCGTAACCAGATGAGATAGAATAGAGCAGTAAACGGCCAATCGGCTTATTTTTCATGCTCTTTCAGATGAAGCAATAAGATAGATGAAGCAATTTTCGTTGCCCATACCCTTTAAGCATGTACATTTTTACTGAAACTATACGTCTTTTTGTGTGTTTCTTGCCAGTTTTCTCGGGTTTTCGTATTCGTGTTTTATATTATCTTTCAACTTTTCAATTTATGTCAGCCTCGTTTTACAAATACACAACTGCACTGATCTCAAATTAGTTCGCAAGCCAAGGTAAACCTAGAATAATAGCACTTTATACTGAGCTCACTTCACTCGATAAAGGAACAAGCGAGACAGTGACAGACTATCTAATACGAGCAAAAAGATCGATTATGGCCCTGAAAAACGCTAAAGAGACACTTAGTGACGGGCTTGTTATTGCCATGTTATTAAAAGTTTTACCTGACTCATACAAACCCTTTGTTGTCCATATTACACAAAGTACAAGTGAAATTACATTTGCTATCCTTGCTATGTTCAAGTCTCAACTGAAAAGCTTTGAAGAAACAGAGAATGAAAAGTCAGTCCCCATCGTTTTCTGCATCCAGTTATGTCACATGTTATGCTTGTGGTCGCAAAGGTCATATCATGAAGGATTATTCTGACAAAACTAAGAGTGAAACAAGCAAGTGGTGCTTATACCACAAGTCAACAACGCATAGTGATAGTACCTGTCGACGAGATCAACGAAAAGACCAAGAAGCTACAAAAGTAAAACAAGCGACATTTGGTGGCCAGTCCGGTGACGAAGGGGATGAATACTCATACACTTTTCATGAGCAAGGGAGTCACCTTAAGCAATCACAGTACAAATGGGATGTTTGTTGATACTGGAGCTACATCTCATGTTGTTACAAAAGATGTATTGAAACGTGTTGATGGTAATTTTAACCCAGCAAAGCATTACATGGAACTTGCTGATGGGACACGTAGAAATAATGTGGCTCTGAAACGTGGATATGCTGAAGTATCAATAGCTGATGAAAATGGAAAATATGTGAAAGCTGTTCTGAAAGACGCACTGTTCATACCAACGTATCCACAGGACATATTTTCTGTTAGAGCAGCTACTTTAAATGGAGCCAAAGTAAAGTTCTCAAAAGATCAAAATGGACTTGTCTACAAAGATAGTACAAATTTCATTATTGAGGAACATGAACGCTTGTATTATTTGAACACTGTTAATCAACTAAATGATGATAGCAATATAAGTAGTTTATATGATAAGGTAAGTCTTGCATGCAATATTTACAAGTGGCATGAAATATTAGGGCATTCCAATTTCGATGATATAATGAAACTAGAAAATTTAGTCACTGGAATGAAAGTTGTAGGGAAGGTAGATATGTTCAAGTTAGAATGTGGTACATGTACAGAAGGGAAGTTTGCAAATTGTAGAAATAGAGCACCAGATAGTTGAGCTACAAAACCCCTAGAAAAGGTACATACAGACTTAGCAGGTCCCATTAGCCCAGTGTCCAAAAATGGTTTTAAATATTGCATTGCATTCACTGATGACTTATCTGGAGCCATTTTTGTATGTTTCCTTAGAAATGAGACTGACACCCTATTAGGAACTGAGAAGTTTCTTGCCGATTGTGCACCTTATGGCCAGGTAAAGTGCTTGAGGTCAGATAATGGCACAGCATTTATGAATGGTGATTTCCAAGATCTTCTTAGGAAAAGAACCATTAAGCATGAAACTTCTTGTCCAAATTCTCCCCACCAGAACGGAACAGCGAAAAGGTACTGGCGGACACTATTTGAAATGGCTCGGTGTTTGTTGTTGGAGAGTGGTGTGCCTAAGATGTTGTGGCCATATGCCGTCCAAACTGCCGCTCATATTAGAAATAGGTGTTACAACAACAGGACTAAGAGTACACCCTATTTTAGCATGACAGGAAGAAAACCAGACCTGTCAAAGATGTGGGTGTTTGGCTCAGAGTGTTACATTTATAACTATGATCATAAGAAACTAGACCCTAGGTGTATGAAAGGAGTATTTGTCGGTTATGATAAGAACAACCCAGCCCACCTTGTTTATCACCCACAGTGTGGTAAAGTCATGAAACACAGATTAGTAAAGTTTATTAAGAATACCAGTGCAGAACAATGCACACAGACTGAAATTGATGATCTAGGCCTTTGTAGAAAGGAGGAAAATGACATTTCCCCAAATGATGTTCAGGGACAGGAAAAAGATTTTCCCGAACCTGAAGAAATTGTTGAAAACTTAGATTCACGCGAAGGGCCACAGTTAGATGTTGAAGATAGTTAAGAGGTTGAAGATGATCATGAGACTAAAGTTTATCCTCAGGGGGAAAGAAAAACCTCACAATATTTAGGAGTCAATAATTCAGCCAATGTAAATGTTGATTATTGTTATAAAGTTTGCGGTGTGCCACAAACATACACTGAAGCAATGGAGTCCCCTGAAGCTTCAGGTTGGGAGAAGGCCATGAAAGGTGAGATGGAAGCACTCAAGGAGAATGACACGTTTGAATTAACCACCTTACCAGAGGGTAAGAATTTAGTGGGGGGAAGATGGCTCTATACCATCAAGGAGGATGCAAATGGTTTGGAAACATTGAAAGCAAGATATGTTGCAAAAGGGTACAGTCACGTCCATGGTATTGACTATGAGGAAACTTTTTCCCCAACTGCCAACATTACATCAATCAGAATCCTTATGCAACTTGCTGCTCAATATGATCTTACTGTTTATCAGATGGATGTCAAAACAGCTTTCCTTCATGCCCCTATTGACCATGAAATATTCATGGAGCAGCCTATGGGCTTTGAAGAGTTGTCAGAAAACGATGTTAAATTAGTCTACAGGTTGAAGAAATCTCTTTATGGTCTTAAGCAGTCGGGTAGGAACTGGAACAGGGTGTTAGACGAGTACTTGATAAGCGATGGATTTGTTAGAAATCCAGTCGAGCATAGTGTTTATCAAAAACAAACAGGTGAAGATATCATAATTGTAGTTATATCGGTTGATGATCTGATTTATAACTTCAAGTAACACAGATATGATCAGTCAATTCAAGGAAAACATAAAATCTAAATTCAAGATGAAGGACTTGGGAGAAATTTCTTATTTCTTGGGCATTAGCTTTAAACAAGGAAATGGAGTTATTAAAATGAATCAGAAAAGATATATTCAGAAAATACTAGATAGATTTGGTATGTCTGATTGTAAGCCTAGAACAACCCCATGCGAGCAGAAATTTGAGGGCATGAGTGATAGTGAACAGGTATACCCAAGGAAATATAGAGAGATTGTAGGTAGTCTGATTTACTTGATGACATGTACCAGACCAGATATTAGTTGTGTAGTGTTTACTATATTGTTGTAACATGAAGTATAAAAAAGATTAGGAATCCAAGATGGCGTTTTAGTAAATATACGTGTTCAGTAAATTGTTTATGTTTAATCGAGTTCAATCTGTTGTTTTATCGGGATGCATACTACAAATGGCGACGAGGATGGACATCTAAATATATCGAGGACTTGTTTAAAGGAATTTTGATAAATTAGTATCATGGAAACGAATCAAAATTCGGAAAATATTCAAGCAGGTGAATCGAGTGGAGCTGTTGTTTTAAAGTGAAAGTACTCGAAGTTGGTGGTTTTCCTTGCTTCGACCCCAAGGGAGATCCAAATACACTATCAATTCGCTGGAGAAGATGGAAACGCGCTTTCAACCTGTATATGGTGTCAAAAGGAGTTACAAATGAACAGCAAAAAGTTGCTTTGTTATTACACTCCGGAGGAATGGAATTACAAGAACTGTATTATACTTTAAAGCCAGATAGTGAAGATAACAATCTTCAGGAATGTTTGAACGCTTTAGATGCATATTTTACACCTAAAGTAAATGTGGCTTTTGAAAGGCATATGTTTCGACAAATGCAGCAAAAAGAGAATGAAACCATAGATCAGTTTGTTTGTCGACTTCGACAAAAGTCTATTTCATGCGAGTTTACCAATGTAGATGAAGCAATTCGTGATCAAATTATTGAAAAATGCAGAGACCCAAAGCTTCGTCGAAAGTTTCTTGAAAAGACAGGTACAGTAATTTTATCTGTGCTTCAAGACACGGCTAGAGTTCACGAAACTGTAAACACACAAATCCAATCTATGGATAGATTAGGTACAAATCAAGTAAATGGAATATTCCAAGGTAATCGAAGGGGGAAAGGAAAGTATGGTGCCAAATCTGATGACCGTGCATCTGATGGAAAACATAAAGAGGGTAGGGAATGTTATCGATGCAATATGACAGGACACATCGGACGAGATAAAAGCTGTCCTGCAATAAGTAGAACATGTAAAAAGTGTGGATTGGTGGGTCATTTTGCAGTTTGTTGTCGTACTAAAGCCCCAAAGAAACCCTCAAATGGAAAACAACGTCAACATGGAGCTTATCAAGTAGAGGAAGAGAAACAGGAACCAGAAACGGACAATTATGCTTTTGTAGTTAAGCCTGCTCGTGAAAAGACAGGTGGAGTTGTTGAACTTGTCATTGGAGGTGTGGAGTTAAATAATGTCCTTTTCGATTCTGGAGCTTCCTGCAATATAATGGATCGAGCAACATGGGAAAACCTGAAACAAAAAGGTGTGAAGTGTGAATCTCAGAAAAGCGAAAAGAAATTGTTCGCATATGGACAAACGGATTCAATTGAGGTTTTGGGAACATTCAAAAGCGATATTTTTTGTAAAGATTCAAGGGTAAGCTGTGTCGATGAGTTTACCGTAGTTGAAGGTCCAGGAAAAGTTTTACTTGGAAAGAATACAGCTGAGAAAGTAAATGTTCTTAGAGTGGGACCTCCACGTTCTCCACAAGTCTACTCGGTTGCATATGAAGGCAGTGATAAAGATATTATGAATGATTTTAAAGAAATTTTCTCAGGAGTGGGAAAACTAAAGGATTTCCAGATGAAATTGCACATTAAAGATGATGTGAAACCAGTAGCACAACCAGTAAGAAGATTACCGTTTGGTCTCAGAGCAAAAGTGGACAAAAAGCTTAATGAGTTATTAGAAGAAGATATTATTGAAGAAGTACCAAGTGGCCCTACCGGTTGGATATCACCTCTTGTTGTCGTACCAAAACCGGACGGTGATATTCGTATTTGTGTCGATATGAGGCGAGCGAACGAAGATATTGAAAGGGAGCGTCATCCAATCCCCACTATAGAGGAAGTCTTATACGAGTTAAATGGATTAACAGTCTACAGTAAATTAGATTTGAAATGGAGATTTCATCAAGTCGAGCTTGAAGAGTCATCGCGTCGTATCACCACATTTTTAACGCATAGTGGACTATATAGATACAAGAGGTTGATGTTTGGAATAACCTCAGCACCCGAAATGTACCAGAAGATAGTCAAGGATGTATTAATTGGTTGCAAAGGAGTTGCCAACATTGCGGATGACTTGATCATCCATGGACGGGGAATTGAAGAGCACGACAAGAATTTGGTAGCTGTACTTAATCGTTTACGGGAGTGTGGATTAACCCTAAATGCAAACAAGTGTCAGTTTCGACTTCCAAAGTTGACATTTTTTGGTCATGATCTTAGTTGTGATGGTGTTTCGCCAAACGAAGAGAAGGTGGCAGCAGTAAGAGATGCCAAACTCCCAAAGAATGCTGCAGAAGTTAGATCTTTCCTAGGCTTAGTGCAGTACTGTGCCAAGTTCCTACCTGATTTTGCACAAGTGGCAGAACCAATCAGAAAATTAACTAGAAAGAATCAACAATTTGAATGGGGAAAAGCTCAACAGCAGTCTTTTTCAACATTGAAAGATCTTTTAACTCAGGCCGAGACGCTTGCTTACTTCAAGAACGATTGTGAAACACACATTATTGCTGATGCTGGTCTTACAGGGATTGGAGTGGTTCTCGCACAGTTACAGGGTGATTCATGGAGAGTAATTTCGTATGAATCTAGGAACCTCACTGTCGTCGAAAGGAGGTATTCCCAAACGGAGAAAGAAGGTCTTGCGTTGGTGTGGGCATGTGAGAGATTCAAGTTGTATGTTTATGGTCGTAAATTTGAGCTAGAGACGGACCACAAGCCCTTACAGTATATATACAACACATCGTCTAAGCCGTCTGCACGACTCGAAAGATGGGTTCTTCGGCTACAAGGTTATCACTTCAAGGTTGTCTATCGGCCGGGAAAAACTAACATAGCTGATGCTTTGTCTAGGTTAAATTCG